CATTTTTGCTCCTGAATTGAGAATTTCCTGCACTGCAACCACTCGGAATTCATGGCCCCCTCGAGGCGGCAGAATATTTTATTCTGACACTCCTGTGCCGGCACAGGGTGGAGGCCTGGTAACTGAAACTGCCTCTTCAATTTCTCTTTAGAATTCACTGTTTCACTCAAACATCAAGCATTAACTAATACAACCCCAGTCAAATGTTTCTTCGTTATCAGAGCACGACGCGGCTTCTCCTGTCCTTTGAGCAGAAGCTACCTGGCAGCTAGTCTTAAATTGTCTGCCGTCACTTAGCTTCGTGGGTTTCTTTCTAACATAAAAGAAGAAAGAAACCAGGGCAATGACAAAGCTGTGGCTGGGCTGAGGACTGTGACCAGAAGTTGGTCCATTTCTCCTAAACAAACGTGTCTGCTTTACTTGGACCTTTGCTGCAGAGATGGAGACCACTGGGCACACGTCAGCTCCAGCATTGCCATCCCTTAATTAATGCTCAGACAAAAGATGACGCTGAGCAAAACCCGCCTGGTGCTTTGCCCTTAAATACAGCTGGCCCTCAGCACATCTCCATCCCAGGGACGAAATTAAGCCCTAGAGGGTGCGGGCACCCCGGCCCGGAGGACGCCTTCTACCCCAGAGCTCACCTCCAGCTCCTGCTCCCGCTGCAGAGCAAACTGCTTGAAGGACTTAACGATGAGGCCAGCGTTGGAACAGTCGTAGACGAAGATGGACGGGCTGCCCATCCAGGTCTGCAGGTCGTATATGGACAGGGGGATGTACTGCGTGTAGTTCTGCAAAACAAACGCAAGACCATGCGTGTCATTCCCACACCTCGAGACCTTCAAGGCAGTTTCTGCCCTCAGCTCACTCAAACGGTTAACTTCAAACCTACGGTTTCTCCAGTAGAAATAGATCATTAACCCCCGTTACCAGTTCTACTTAAAGAAAGCTACAATATACAAGTTACTGGTGATACTCCAATTAAAATGAATCCCTTTGAAAAGATACCATATTGTACTTTTAGGGCAAGTGTTCCCAACAGGAAGCCCCGCACATCCTCTGGTGCTCAGCAGCCAGCAGTCGCCCAAACTCAGAGGACCTGAGGGTATTCCCTCCTGGCATTAACAGCTGACTTCTTCGCTCCTGAACCCCGAAGTCAGCATCATTTAGAGCTAGAGAGCAAGTATTTTGCTATTAATTGAGTGTGCTCGAGGTAATTTTTAGTGTTGTATTTGGAAGTTGTAAATAAAACATTTTATGCTCTAATCCTAATTTTTAGAAGTGAATTAAGCTGCTTTTTACTCATCAG